TGATCCCCACCGCACTGGAGAAGGGTGGAGTGCCAGAACACCGGCAGGATACTGATGCCATCATCATGTGGGGAGCCATGGCAGAAGTTTTCAAGAAAGAGAATACCACTGAAATGCTCCTGAATGCTGTTTTTGCCATAAAACAAAGTAAGGTTAAGGGATCTGCATGAGAGTTAAAGTTTTTGAGAAAGAGAAGAATACCACTGAAATGATCCTGAATGCTGTTTTTGCCATAAAACAAAGTAAGGTTAAGGGATCTGCATGAGAGTTAGAGTTTTGGGGAATAAAATGGCAAGATGGGCATCACCAGATCCCAATGGATGTAATCAACAAGAGAGCAGTCATGTCCCCACCAACCTCCAAAAAGGAAACATAGACTTTCTTGGGTGCTGTGGGTTTCTGGAGGATGCACATCCCAGACTACAGTCTGATTGCCAAGTCCTCTCTACCAAGTGACCTGGAGGATGAATGATTTCAAATGGGGCCCTGAGCAGCAGCAAGCCTTCGAACAATTTAAACAGGAGATTGTGCATGCAGTAGCCCATGGGCCAGTCCAGGTAGGACAAGGTATTAAAAACATTCTTTACACCGCAGCTGGGAAGAATGGTCCTACCTGGAGCCTCTGGCAGCGAGCACCCAGGGCGACCCGAGGAGTTGCAGATACAAAGGATCTGAGGCCAACTGCACTCCAACAGAAAAAGAGATAATGGCAGCATATGAAGGAGTTGGAGCTGCCTCAGAGGTGGTCAGCCCTGAAGCACAGCTCCTCCTGGCACCCTGACTGCTGATGCTGGATGTTCAGAGGGAAGGTCTCCTCCACACACCATGCAACTGATGCCACATGGAGTAAATGGGTCGCCCTGATAACACAACGGGCTACAATAGGGAAACCCAACCGCCCAGGAACTCTGGAGGTGACGGACAAAAGATTTTGGGATGTCACCAGAGCAGGTGACACGTGTGACGAGGCCCCACCATATAACAAACTGCCAGATGACAAGAAGCGATGTGCCCTGTTCACTGATGGGTCCTATCACATTCAACTGACATTAGATATTGCCAAGTAGGAAAAGTGGACAGTGCACTACCTCCACACTGACTCATAGATGGTGGTGAATGCCCTGTGGGGGTGGTGACAGCAGTGGAAGTGCAGCAGCTGGCAGTGCCGAGGGAAAGCCAGCTAGGCTGCAGGACTGTGGCAGGGTAATGGTGTGCGCACAGAGCACCACGATGGCCTCCACACTGACTCATAGATGGTGGTGAATGCCCTGTGGGGGTGGTGACAGCAGTGGAAGTGCAGCAGCTGGCAGTGCAGAGGTAAAGCCAGCTGGGCTGCAGGACTGTGGCAGGATATTGCTGCTCGCGTAGAGAACCTAGCTGTGAAGGTCCGTCATGTGGATGCCCATGTACCCAAAAGTCAGGCCACAGAAGAACATCCAGAAAACCAGTGTGTGGATCAGGCTGCCAAGATTCAAGTGGCTCAGGTGGACTTGGACTGGCAGCATAAGGGTGAACTATTTATAGCTCGGTGGGCCCATGACACCTCAGGCCACCAAGGGAAAGATGCAACATACAGATGGGCTCAAGACCGAGGGGTGGATTTGACCATGGACACTACTGCAGAGGTCATCCATGAATGTGAGATGTGCTGCAGTCAAGCAAGGCAAGAGGTTAGTGTCCCAGTGGTATGGAGGACGATGGCTGAAATATGGAGAGGCCTGGTAGGTTGACTGCATCACATTGCCACAGACACACCAAGGCAAGCACTACGTCCTTCCAATGGTGGAGACAACCACTGGATTGTTGGAAACCTATCCAGTGCCCCATGGCCCAGAATACCATCCTGGGCCTTGAAAAGCAGGTCTTGTGGCAACACGGCACCTCAGAGAGAATTGAGTCAGACAATGAGACTCCTGAAACAGCCTCATAGACACCTGGGTCACGGAGCACGGCATCAAGTGGGGCTGTCACACGCCAGCCACTGGGAAGGTTGAAAGATACAACGGACTGCTACAAACAACACTTCAAGCTGTTGGGGG